ACATTTGTGACAGTAAATGAAAGTCAACTGTTCAGCTTGTTTAGAATATAAATATCATTTTGAAAACTACGGTAAACATTAAAATGCTTAAGTAAATTCGAACAATTGAGAGATTTTTTCCAATAAATGTTATTGCATAGTCGAAAAACGGGCATGGGCACATGGCTCGTCTTATCCCCCCAGATTCTTATGAAATAATAAGCAAAGCGATCTCTTATAGAGCATTATACGACCCCTTCACCCCCCCCCCCCCCAATAGAAGCGAAAAACTTTATTTTTTGTTTATAAAATAAATGGAAATACATGTACCACTTTCATATCAGCTGTTATTTTATTTCATTCCAAATGTATCATAAATGTAAATAATTCGATAATGAAGCCCCCCCCCTCCCCCCCCCCGCAAGAGCATTTTTTGAGAATATGAACCTCTAATGTATGTTCACCAACATTTACGATCAATGATAGATTTTTATTATATAAAAAATTACCAAGTACCTCGTTTGTTTTTCGGCGTGTGATTAAAACAGTCCAACATTTATTCTCAAATTTTGATAATGTAATATTCGTAATTGATATTCAGCATTGCAAATATTAAGAAAGAATTGAAAAAAATAAAAAGTTAATAGAAAGCCTTTTGACAATATTCTAATAGTATGAAATTTGGTATTAGATGTATATTAATCTGAGATCGACTTTTATTCTATGAACGGTGAAGGTAGGGATAAATGCAGGCAAGTTTAGACTCGGAACTTTTTTGTTCATTCTTTGTGTATGTACACAAATTCTCATCCAGACACAGCATGAGGTATACAGATTCCAGGGATTATACAATATTTAATCATTGATGATCTTTGCTTTGGTCTGGGATGATGCGAAGATTTTCCTGGAAATGAAATCAGCAGAACTACTAATTGGCTTTTGAATAATCAGCTAAGAATTGCAACAATTCTTGACAAAAAAAAATCGGACCTTTTCAATTTAGATTTTCAATATACATGTACATGTATCATCAATCACAATTTCTAAAAAAAAATTTATTTAATTACTTTTTGAAACACTAAAGTGTAAATAAGTTGCATTTATTAGTATTTTGTAGGTTAGTTGGTTGCACTTCAGTTGAAATTGTACCGGCAGTACGAAGAATTTCAAGATAAGTATAAAAGGGTATCAATCTTAAAATGAATAGTTATTTTCTCTTCAAGATTATTATTTTCTTTTAGTTTTTGTGAGTAGTTTTCGATTAGGGACTGGCAAGTACAGCGTTTATTTTTTTATTTTTTGCTCGTTCAAGAGATGTACTCTTTCAAGCAATCCAAAATATTATTGATTGTGATCAGATCTCTGAACTTGAACTTTTATTATATGGTCCTGATCATGGAATCAACATTAATATTCATTGAACACTGTCATGTATGTAAATTTTGTCAATATTTCCAAGGTCTTGTAGAGTAGGCTTTTTCCTCTAAAATCTTTCCCCCCGGACAACTGGCTCTAGAGTAGGATTCCCCCTTCCCGGAAAAGTAGGATTTCCCCACGGAAAATGACTCTAGTGTAGTATTTCCCACATGGAAATCCAACAACAGATTCAATTTTCCGGGGGGGGGGGATCTTACTCTGTGTAATAATTATAGAGTGCGATTTCCCTTAGAGTACCTCCCCCCCATAAAACATCATAGCTGTTTTATGTATGAGGAGAAACGGGGCGACATATCGTTACAAGTGTCCCCTCTTTAAAATGACGACCAGTTCCATTGAAATATATACGAAGTATAAAAAATAAAAAATTAAATTCTCATTTTTCTCGGTAACCGTCCAACTTAATTTTTGAAGCATTAAAATCTTATTCTTTTCATCTGGTAAAACTAATTTCTGGGGGGAAAATGGTACTATGTGATCGGTTGGACAAATTTTAACTGTATCCATAGTTCTTAACAAAACGGAATTTTATTTTAAATGGATTTTTTTCTCAAATTCTGTTTCAAACTATATGCTCATACATATAAGTGTCTCTACAAAATTCTGGTGTTTAAATATTGCCATTGAACTAGAAATGGGCATTATTTCTAAAAGTTTGAAATTTTCAAAATCTTTTTGAGAGTAATTGCTCTCTGCTCCCAAATCCATTATTACATTGCTGGGGTCGAGGGTACATATTTTTGCTTTGGCTTGCAAAAGCAGTGTTTCTTGTATTGTTGTGTTTATGGTTTTAGCCTTTTTCCCTTTGAAAAACTATTCAATTCAAATACTCACAAAATGACACGTAACCCATCAATATTTGGCCAATACTTCAGTTTCATTTTGACAATTTTACAGGGCATATTTTGGCCGTTCGTGGGCTTAGCTTTTTAGAATTTTCTCACACATTTTGTAAAAAGGAAGGATATATAGATGAAATACTAGGCGTTTAGAGGGCAAGCAAATTATCAAATCACTAAAAGTGTCCTGATATTATTTTAAAATTCGTAAGCAAACACGTACCGCTGCGCCGGGAGAGGGTCTTGAGACATCGAGTCTTACGATTTTTAAAGTGACTAATTTATAATTTCCCATAAGTTAAAATTTTGAGTTGAGACTCAATGATTTGAACTATATATTCTAAGACTTCATACTAAATTCGACAATTCTTGAGTCGAAAACACCAATATTCCATTAAAAAAAATTAGTTGATTTTCATATAAACATTTGTCACATTACTGTCGATATGATGTAAGCATTGATAAAAGAGGGGAACTCCTATTCTGAGAAAGAAAGAGGGGGAAATTTGGCTCTGGTGTGATATTTTCCCTCGGGGGAAATTCTACTCTGGAGGACAGATTCCGGGGGGAAAGCTGGCTATGGGGGAAATCCTACTCTACACCGGTACTGCCTTGTATTTTTTTTTTCTTGTTTCTTTTCTACAATCTTTGTGCATTTACTTTGACCTTGTTGTAGGTAGAGGGCTAAAATAGGCTTTGCCTGCTGCCTAATCCCATTCACTTTTTGTGAATAAAGTTATGTATAAATTAGGTATAACATTATCCCATTTTTTCGTGTTTGTAAACGTTTAAGTCATCTCAGAACATCGATATCATTGTTTTCAAACCACTACCGGATTCAAAACAATATTTTACCTATTTAGAAAAAAAATAGCACGACTGATAAATTTATTTGTTTGCAGTATTATAAAATTATAAATGACAAGGGAAAAATTAAAACGAAATAATAATAGACGAAAGAAATCCCAATATTTGATTGGTTTATTATTTTAATACTTTATTATCAAGTAGGCAGTGGGCGATTGTTTTATGTACAATTTAACAACACCTATTCATCTGCTTTAAATTAACTCATTGTTAACGTATTTATATAACCGTTAATTCTGAGTTTAGTTTCAACAAACTTTTGAAGGGTAAGACATCAATTTAGTACGATATATCATTGAATCAATTTAACATTGTGTTTAATTAAGGCAGTGCATTCAAATATTCGGGGGGGGGGGGATGTAAACAGTTATATTTCTATAATCATACTGGATAAATGTTATTTGGATGATACAAAAAGTATATATCTTAATTAAAAGCTGTGAAGTGAAGATAAACTTTTTAAAAAAAATATTACGAGAACACTCCTTTATTAGTCAGTTACAAATGAGTTATATTTACTCTTTTTTAAACGGTTATATAGTAGCACTTTATCAAAAGTAACGATCTATACAACGCACGTGTCTGCTATTATGTGGTTTTATCAGATGTATGTCGATTTTATTCTTCATCACGTTTCCGGGAAATTAACAACAGGACATCATCGCTGAACCTCTGGTAGATTTATTTTTTAGAGATTTTGAAATAGTGATTAATTATATCATAATCGATTTAAATTCTGTGACCCTTTTCTAGACTGACAACTCATGACCTTTTAAAGACTGATATGTGATTTGAATTATAAATTAAGATCGATTAGAATGAATTACACAATTTATATATTTTTTTTTACATATTTAGAAAAAAAAAGTGATAGAAGTAAGTACAATTCGATTAAATATACATTTGTAAAACCGTTTAGTCAATGAATGAGTGATGATAAAATGTCATCTTTTTCGTCTTCCATTTTTTGTAATTCCCATTAGTGATTAACGTTAATTATACGTTATTTTTATGATTTTTCCACTTTAATTTTACCTTTAAAAAGATTGTGCAAAATCTTGCTCATTACCTAATTATGACTAGGAAGGGACAACCAACCAATGCAATTTAACCTCACTCTCCGTAAAGGAACGTCAAGAATTTATGTAATGGATTTTTATTCGTGAAAAGCCGCAAACGTCTGCCACTGAAGTATTTATTAATTGCACATGGTCCGTAAAATGACCCACTGATAAGCTTATTTTATGACATATAGTAAACACTTTTTAAGGAACTTATTTTTAACATGGCAGGATTAAATATGAAACAAGGTTAAAAGTAAATGGTAAAATGATTAGAAAACAATAAAAAAAAATTACAGATTGTTGCTTCATTTGCTAGATTTTAATATAGAAAAATAAAACATTCTGAATTATTTACATTATATTTTAAAGGTTCTAGAAACATCTATGAAATTCTGATAAATACGATATAAGGATATCAAATTTCCCCTATTTGTTTACACATCAAATACTCAGTGGAGCCAGATTACGGTCGAATCTCTTTTTATACGTCGACGCATTTTTCAATAAATTTGTTTCATAAAGCTTCTTTACAAATCCCAAATCCTCACTGCGTGATTGCCATTGTTACCGTAAGAAAGGTGCAGTGAATGCACAAAAGATCTTGACTGTAACCTGTAATCATCTTTTAGAGGCAGGGCCTTACATGGCAGGTCTTTGTTACCTGTAGTCCCTCCCAATTCTTTTGCGTAGGCGCTCAGGTATGGGTACCCTTTTGATGACTCACTCACAGAATTTTTTTCTTAGCCTGTTGAAACATATAAATAACTCCGCAACTCGCATTGGTTTGTCATAATTTACCAGACACTACAACTCTAAACAAGTTAGACAAGACTGATTACTGACATTTACTGTACATCCATCAAGGTATGTAAAGCAGAATTGTTTTATTTTCAATTGATTTACATTTTCCATGATCTAAATATATATTTGAAAATTATTATAGGTATAGAATTTATTTTCATAAAAAGAAAATGGCAATTATTTTTTTTACTGAGTTCTGTTTTTAACGAAGAGTAAGTAGGGCAAGAAAACATCTATAAACAATAAATTTTTCCTGATTGGGGACACATGTTTTCTGTTTAGGACAGTACAGGAAATTTGCACTTCCTAATATTAAGTGTTGACACAGTTAATGCAGAGTTTAGAAAGCAAAATTAATAATAATCAGTAGCTTGAAGGGGAAGCATGAGCTCAGCATTGTTTGTCCACCATTTTCATTACTGTTATCAATTCTTTTTTTTAACAATAACTTCATATATCTAAGGAAACGAAATATAATGAGTAGGCTTTATCTAATATAATGTGTTTTTTTTTTTCAGATAAAACCAAAACATGAAGTGGAATCTGCTTATTGCCTGCTTGGTGCTCTTTTTAAAATCCTGCTTTGGACAAAGTTGCCCAGCACCTGCAAATAGCGGGTGTACGTGTGACGAGGGACCACCGGGGAGTAGTGAACGTGTCATCAACTGCAGAGACGCTGGTCTGTCTAGCATACCTGTCTTCAGTCCATCAGAGGAGGTTTTCTTGGAGGTGACTTTCAGCAACACCCAGTCCCCATCCCCGTCCTGTTCAAGATGCAACAAAATTACAGCAGTGCCTGCAAATGCATTTCAAGGACTCAAATTCAAAGTTCTTGATCTTAGTAAGAATTCGGTATCCAGTTTTGATAATAATGCTTTTGCGGGACTGGAGGACTATTTAGAGGAACTCGTAATTCAGGGTAGTTCTTCGCCTGTGCCATATACCGCAATATCGAGATTAAGGAAACTGAAGAAACTCTCACTCAGCCACTTTTCACAAAGTATAATTGGCAGGGACAACACTGACCTTCAAAGTTTGGTAAATCTGGAAACCTTAGAATTCAAGAACATGGACACCGAATTTATTCAGAGTGATGCCTTCAAGGACCGGGTCCCTATGCTGAAGAAATTGGTCCTTGAGACTCTTAAGATAAGGACATTCCCTGTCGCCGGAATAGCAGAATTGACTTCACTGGAACATTTGTCTGCAGTTTATCTGCAAATCAAAGAAATACCTTACCAGGCTTTTGCCTCTCTTCATAATCTCCAGGAACTGGTCTTATCTCACAACGGTCTTACTACCCTCCGGTCAGGCTGTTTCGATGGAATTCAAGACTCCCTTAGATATCTTGGACTTCACATTAATAATTTAGATGAGAGCAGTGTAGGAGCCATCGCCTCCGAAAGGTGGGACAAATTAGAACAACTTAACCTTGGACATAACAACATCAAAGTCATTCCAAGTGGTTTATTCTACAACATGCGTAGTTTGGTGTATCTGAACATCGATTCAAATTGGCTACCAAAAATTGGATCTGAAGACTTTCAAGGCCTCGACTCTTTACAGTTTTTAGATGCATCCTATAATAATCTAGTAGAAATAGAGGATGGTGCTTTTCTGAAGACACCCAGATTGCAAGAGTTAGATCTCCGAGGGGAAAACACGAATATTCCACAAAAAAATGCAAGTTTTCAACTGAATGCAAAAAGTGTACAAGGATTGGATAATTTAGAAAGGCTCATTCTAGCCGATACTTTGCTTGACGAGACAACTTTATGGAGTGCATTGAAGCGTCTAACCAACCTCCAAGTTCTTAAGCTAGGGGGGACAGGAATCAAGGAGATTCCTGACTTCCAGTTTGAAAATAATAAACATTTGAAATATCTTATGCTCGAAAACAACAAACTTACTAAACTTACCGAAAAACAAATGTATGGTTTAACAGAAAACTTGGTGAGTTTAAGCATTGGAAACAATCAAATTCGTGAGTTAGATGAATGTGCACTAAACAAATTTACAAAATTGGAAATGCTCTACATCAATAACCTTCCTCTACACTGCGACTGCAAAATTCTATGGCTTTATGACTGGTTGAATGAACTGAGAATAAAAAACGACATCAAATACTTTTTGATCAGAGCGATTTGCAGTACTCCTACTCCTTTAGCTGAGAGGAATTTAGTGACTGTTAACAGGACTAGTCTGGTGTGTGAAAGTAGTTACACACCGAAAAGGTGCAACAATTTTACTCCTCCTCCATCGATCTCCACGACGGTGTCCCCCTCCGTCCAACCTGTCACTAAAAAATCGGCAACAAACAATGTGTTCAGCTTCGAAAGAATAACCGAATCCAGTTCTACCGTCAAGTTTGAGTGGAAAGTTTCCGATCCAGAAAAGATAGACAAATACTTTCTAGAGTACCAACTTCTGAGGACTTTTCAGTGGAATAAAGTGGATGTTCCAAGGACTGCTTTAAGTTTTGAAAAGGAAAATTTGCAGAAGAATTCTAACTATCTGTTCTGTTTAACCGTTGTCCTGAAAACCAAAGAGAGCATAAGGCCATGTATTGTTGTAAATACTCTGCCATAGATATGTATATAGAACCAATGATAAAAACACAGTGTTCAAGGAAATCCATTTACATTCCTGTTGTTAAATTTTTACTGTATTGTTATTTGTTAATTTATTTATTTATTTTACATATGAAGCTTTTTTTTTTAAAAAAAAAAAAAATAATTTATTATACTCAAATTTATGTATTTATGAATATTTATATACTATGCATTAGAATGTCTAGTCGATAATAGGCTAAAGCTAGAAGACGAGATTAAGTTCTAATCGCTTTTGTATTAATGCTAAACAATTAAAGAATCTCTAGTCTATTTTACTAGATTATAGGTTATATTTTATTATATAAGATCTCTTTTGATCGTTTCAATTTATATTTATTCTTTTTTGTACATTTAAATACAACAATAAAAATAAAAACTGACTTCTCTGTCATTCAGATTGAAGAAACAGCTAATTAGGTAATTGAAGTGGATTTGCAGACGGAAGCACGTTTTTTCTTCATCATCTATTTATGTTTTTATATTGCACAGCATGAATGAGCGATAAAAACACACAAGTGGCTAGGAAATTCCGCCCCCAGGCATATGCCGTGCCAGGGATGAGCTGTTACGTTGAACAAAATGTGAACAGCTCCTTAAAATATTTATAATGGTCCACTATTCTCTCTAGATATATAAGTATCAACTAAAAAATAACTTTCAGATGTGTCGACTGTTTTCAGACACTCGTCCAGCACAAAGAACTTGTGGTGTACTTACATCGTTTGTACTTTTCAAGAGCAATGTTTTCTCTGTAACCAAATAGTAAAGTGCATTAGGAAAAGGATTTACACATCAAAGACCTGACACTGATATTCATGACCTTATTAAAAGCACGGATGTAACTTGTTGACCATGAAATAGGGTGATAACGAACAGTAATCAAGCATTGAAACAATGCAAATTTGGAGCAGAGCAAATACGGACCTCTAAAATTATCAGAGATGGAATCAGATGCAATGGAGGAGTAAGCATCCCCTGTCGACCGGTCACACTCGCAGTGTGCTCCATGTGACGATCGGACAAACGGTAAATTCCGTAGACAATTCAGTGTGAAAATAATGCCCTAACAATTTGTATGAAAAACGTCAGTAAATATTCGACTTAATGATAGATTGTAATTGTTGACAAGGTCATTGTATCGACAACAGAATTTTCGAACTGTTGACTTCATGTGACCTATTGCTACTGTTTTCGTCCATCATCTGATATAGTCTGTTGTGCGTCGGCTGTATCCTTTAAAAGACTTTGGAACGGGTGAACCGATTTCATGTAATGTTGTAATAAAGCATCTATCAAAGCCCCCCCCCCCCCCCACTAAGGGGGGATTTTAAACTATCAAATTTTTGCAATCTTCAAAAATTCTCTTTTCTTTACTCCTGGACATCAAGTAGTCAAACGTTTAATTGGCATGGTTATAATAAGCATATTGAGCCCTCTAAATAATTGTTAAAATCATGGCCCCAGAATCAGGGCTCCTGCTATTGGGGTGGTTCTCTATTGAGAATATAGTGAAACTGCACAATTTTTTTCCCCCATGTATATTTAGAAGGTAAGTTAAGTACATAATGATGATAAGCAAGGGTGTCTCTTTCGAAATTGCGAAATTCATGGCACCTGGGTCAGGAGTTCTGGCTCCAGGGCCAAAAAACTTAGACGAGCTCACTTTTGATCTCAGTCTCACTTTTACCAAAGGAAATTATAGTGGAAAAGTGAGACTGGGATCAAAAGTGAGCTCAGATAAGTTTTATGGCCCCAGGGCCTGGTCTTAGGACAGGTCTCTATTGGTTATATAGTAAATGCATCAATTTTTTGGAATTCTTCTTCTCTGCTCCTGGAAATCATGTACATTGTAGACAAACAAAATGGTTATGATGAGCAATGGTTCCTCTCCTCTTCCAAAGTTTTGAACATTGCCACTGGGGCAGGGGTTCTGGTGTTACGGCAGCGTTAAATAGTGAAAATGCATTTAATTACTTGAAAATTGTCTTCTCTGTAACTGGGCATCCAGAGGGCAAACAGGGTACAAAATCGTAATGAGCTAACGTGTTTTTACCAGATTTGTGAAAAAATTGACTACTTGATCAAGGGTTCTGACGCTGGACAGGGCTCTATTGATCATGTAGAGAAAATTGTACATTGAGAGGAGTTATTCTCCTTTGTTATTCAACTATGATGATTATGTAATTGATAAATCAATCAAATAAAAGAATTGCACAAGAGTATTTAATGCATATTACTAAAAGTAATTTGTTAGTTTTTTGTACAAGTGTTATTCATAGCATAGACCAAGAGAAACCAAAACTTCAGGGATTCTATTGGGTTTACTATATGTTTACAGTTCTTAATGCGCAAGCACTATAATTGTATAGTTTGCACTGGCATATACATACAAGTAAATAGATCTGCTATATGGTTTGTTTCGTTGAGTACCAGATTAACTATTATCTGATCGTCCCATTTCTCTTGTTTTTGGGCAACATAGTTACCTTCATCTATCAGATTTTGTTTTGGTGTATAATTATTAAATTGCGATTTATCAGATTGTATTATATTGAGGTGACCGTTAAGGCCCTTGGGCCTCTTGATTTTCTTTAGAAACGTCAGCAGTCATCCTGTATTTATAAATTATAATCTAGTCTTTCTTCTTTATACCCAATCAAGTACTTCCATAGCTGGAATAAGTTGTAGAGTATTGTTCAAAGATAGATAACTCTACAAAATATTGCAAATCTGCACAAACATGTTTTTCTCTCTTTGCGCACTGAACACTTCTAATTGCCAATGTAGTATTAATAAACAAAAATTACTGTTGTATACTTACAGTGGGAAAATGCATACAAATAATGTATTCAGTTACTTTATACCTGTCTAAATAATGTTAAGAATATTTTAATCTCTCACAAAGTTCATGATTTCTGTTTATTCTTTAATATTCTTTGGGAAGCTCAGTCTAATTGCATAAAAATAATATGTATAATAACTTTAATAATTTTTCTTGAGTGAATATAATCGGCAGATATATGTTGAAATTGAAGATAAATTCAATATGTACACCTTCATATGATACAACTTCCTCAAAGTCTATATAGACTTTTCATTAATATGTTTGTAATGAATTATGGAAATAACGAAAAGTAATCAAGCTCAAACAATACAAATCGGGTGCAGAGCAAAAACGGACCTCTAAAAAAACATCAGAGGTGGGATCAGGTGCCATGGAGGAGAAAGCATCCCCTGCTAATCGGTCATCCTTAATCATCCTTAAGGTGAAGAAGATTAATGAATTTTAAAAACGTAGAAAATATTTAATTTAAAGAATATGCACAAAGAAAACCGATTCTTATTATTAATTTATTGTGTTGGATGTATCAGAGCTTAAGGTATTCACACATTTACATATATAAAGCAAAAAAGGTACGTTATGTATGCCCTTAAGGAGATCCTGTTCTCAGAAGTATTGAGAAATTTTAATCAAGTATACTTTTAGAATCTATACACATAGCTTAATTAAAAACCAAAACAAAAAATGGGGGTCAGTGCGCTTCTTTTGGCGCTACTGAGCAGTTAGTATGACTTTTTTGCACTGTAATTACGTCTAACACATAAATTAATTTTTTAAAGTTTTTCCTCTTATATTTTTATCCAAATAAATTATGGGAACAAATAAAGACTTTTTTCATCTTAAATAGTTACATTAAAATTTGTGACTACAAAAAAGTTTCAAATTACTTCCGCATAGTCAATTATTTGACCTTTCTGCACTCTAAAAATGTGCCTTTTCTGGCATTTAAAATCTAACAAGCAATAAAATCATTTGAAAGTAATGACATTTTTCTGAATTTAAGCAGAATGGTTAAAATTATCTTATATTCAGAAAAGAAAATCAAAAGTGGGGGTCTGCGATGTTAATTTTTAGATATTAGGAAAAAAGTGTTAATTTTAAGCTTAAATTGGGCTATTTTTCCCCCAGGACTTTCACAATATATTGGCTATATTTGTTAAATATCATGATAGAATTCATGACATTTAATGTAATATATAATTCATGACAAGCATAACACATTTCACTGCACAAAATAATTCTTTGTGCAGAGTGCATGTTAAAATAGGTATCCAAACTTAACAATACTGTAAATACTTCGAAAGAGAAAAAAAATGATTATTTTCTTCTAAAAAAAAAAACCTTCCGCCACAAATCTAGTTCCTCACTTAATGCTTTCGGTATGGAATTTAATCAAGGGGTTTTAATTGAATTTAGTTAAATTAGCAATGTGGAATCCATATGTACTCTAAAAACTAAAACATTATGCATTTTTTTAAATAGAGGTCAAAACAAAAATCTGATCAAAGGCTCAGGAACGAACCTCTTTAAATGGGAAAAAATCATGCAATTAAAGTGTTCAACTGATTAATCTTGGCCTATAAAAAGCTAAGAATGTTTGTAAAAATTCGAGAAATGCATGTAGATTTCAATTCATAATTATTGTATTTTATTAAAGATGTAAGTACAGATTATTCTCACCTCATTAAAACACCACAAAGTTAGAACTCGTTAATGTGCAGTGTATAAAAGGTCTTTAAGCAGATTTGTAAAAACCTTGTTCTATTTGCTTCATTCATTAAAACTAAATAAAAAATATAAACAAGGCTTATAACCTTTACGCCCTTCATCCTCACCTAGTTTCAGTAAAAGGGATCAATCTGTGATTTATTTATACATTCTCTCTTTAGTTAGGCAGGTAGATTTTTAACAAAACATGATCACGAATGTAACACTTGACACACAGACTTTAAATTGCATCATCGATCCACAATACAAAAAAAAAAGGAAAAAAAAAGAATACAGGTTGCTGTTTTCAATAATTATAAATATTCCAATGATTAAATTTCTAAAATATATTTTCTCAGGAATAATTTGTCTACGTAACTAAGATTTTCTATGACAACCCTCTAAATTCCTCGATTATTACCTACTCTGTTAATCTAGAACATGTTTACGTATCAATTAATTAAAAAGTACTGCAAAATGACAGACTGGTGCTATTTATTTTAAACCAGTTTTAAGATCTATAAATGTGCAAAGTGATTTAGTTTTCATTCAATGAAAATATCTTACACACAATGAAACTCTGCTGACCCCTGCATTGTTCTGTTTTTACGGTACATTAGGTCGAGTTTATAGCATTAGCCTTTTTACTTAATTGAAAAGAGAAAAACCTGAGATCGAATATTTCATTTTTAATATACAATAAGCATATTTTTAAAAAGCTCTAACACAGTGAAGAGTTTTATAATTGTATTTGCATAGAAATAAATGTTCATCTACAGATGAGGCATTTTTAACATTGATTTATTGAAATGGGGCATCGAGAACATGACATAAATCAAACGTGGTTGAAATTCTCGATTTTGTATATTTTGATACTGGAAATATTTTGCAGTTCATATGATGAAGCGTGTATTCTGAGTTCTTTGCATTGAAAATATTCTTTAAAAAACACTGAAACATGATTATTAATAGTGTTCTCTTTTCATGTATACTGTAATACATAGAATCATTGCATATATCTTTTTATTCTTTCAACAATTTCTTCATGCATCAACAGAATTGTATTTGCAGTGGAAGTTCAAATGCGGAAAACATCGACATTTTCGTATGTATTAGGCTTGATGAAAAGCATGACGGATTTGCAATAAACACTTTGTCCGCCGGGTGTCCATTCTATCTGTCTGCTAGAAGTAACAAAACAAGAGTCACATTTAGGCGTCAAGCCTGTTCCTTGAACCCTTACCTTTATACATGTACAATCATTCAGTAGTGCTTTCTAAAACCATTACATTTTGTTCAATGCATTCGTTGTTTGCTTGGGATTTATCATTAGTTTTTGAATACTGTTTTGCTTTGAAAAGATGTCTACTAACATGTATATATAAACTATAAAGATCCGGTATAACAATCCCCCCAATAATGAAAATAATGAAAACCACCCCAACAACACCGATCCCCTTTGCACTTGGTCGAGGATCCTCGGCACTCTCTTTCTTACGAATTGTGCTCGAGAGAGACTGTTTATCAACTGTAAGAAACTTTTTTCTGGCCTCTATTTTACTTTGAAGCACAGTTTCTGTCATATTGGCCCCATCATCCACGCATTTACAAGAACATTCTCCAACAGAATTAGTTGTATATGTTGACAATGTTGTGGACTCTGATATAGATTTAGAATCCAGAGTTATAGAGGACATGAACTGAGGTAAGTTGTCAGTTGTTAAATGTGTACTTGGTGTGATGGACCAATCCTCTGTGGATGTTGTGAGTTCTCTCTCGTAACAGCTTGAAGAGGGATTGTTATTGGGGTTAATGTCCACCGATTGTCCTGTTACGCCAATTGTTGCTGCACAAAAATGATCGGAGATCATATTTTGATTAGTGTAGTCACAAGTTTTATCTTTGGATAAATTTAAAAAAAAAAGTGGGGGACAATAAGTTGAAGTCAACACAACACGGCTCTTTTATTCATTTCTTTGGAATTAATTAGCTTGACTGTTTTATCAGCTATCTCCATTTTATCGTCGATGCTTTTTTTTTCAAAAAAAAAAAAAAAAAAAAAAAAAAAAGCAAAAGCATTTTTTTGTTTTGTTTTGTTTTTGCCTCCAGCTTTCTTTGGGTGATTATTTATGGAAATAAAGGATTTTTAATATTTCTAATTTTGCCACACTTGAAGTGTTGAAGTCTACAACTTAGTTTGATTGCAAGGTTTCAATGAACCAAATAAGTTTAATAGTGCGCAAGAAATAGTCACTCGCCATTAATATCTCTTAGGACAGGGAAATTTAAACCGACAGTTATGCTGCATGATTGGATGACGTTAAAGCTGATCGTATACTGCATGTAGTATAGTTAAGCTTACTGGTTATGCTGATTGCTATCTGGCTCGTGATGCTTTTGCTGTGACTTAAATGACGATTTCTCTTATGATGATTTACGTACAGATAGTAAAGGTCACTGTACTGTACATATTGGAATATTTCATAGAAAAAAAGAACAGTTCCTTTGCACTCATTTTATTTCGAGGACAAGACCGTATAACAGTTTAGCCATTATATTTTTGGTTGCAATTTTTGGCAAAAGTAACTTTGTTTCTTTATAAAAGTAAAATAGCAGAAAATAATACCAAGTGAATGGACACATTAAAATTAAAAGAACAAAAATTCTTTTCATTTTTAGACAATAAAATTGCAAAATTTCCCATTACACATTTGTATATATAGTTATAAACCACTTACCTTCATAGCAGGATGTAAGGGAAGAAGTACAGGGATCTAGAAATAATAAGTAATACACGTATATAAATTTGAATTTATCGCAAATCAGACATGTATAGTAATCGCAGTTCTTGTCATAGTCGACAATTTGAAGATCTGCAAATTGTTACAAGTCTTAATTACTAAACGACAAAACCTTTCAACAGAGTTGCTTAACATTTAGTTTATGAGTATTATAGCTTACTCGAGTCAAGATTTTCACATATAAAGTATAACTGGCTACTGCATACGTCCGTCCAGAAATTAGAGGAAATAGTTTGGAGGTATACACACTTATTAGTATTGGTGCTTTTGGGTTGACTAGGATGCCAGTTTGTCCAGGAAACTGAGGAACAATCCGCCCATGCAAGCTTAGTACCTTTTGAGTCAGTGTAATGAAGTCCAATCCAGACTGTTTTCTTATCTCTGAAAGAATACGTAAAAAAATCTCATAACTTGTCCATTATAAAAAGCATAAAAACATATGACTTTTCTATGCTGTATACAATCATTCCTAACGATAAATTAAAAAAAGCAGGCTTTTTGACATCAGAGACAACTGCTTCCACAATAAAAAATGAAACTCAAAATTTTTCATATGTAATGAATGGTCATCTACAGAATTACTTTGTTGAAATTAATTCTAATTCTACATACAAATACCCTGAAGTTGATATTTAAAAAAATACTAGAATTCCTCATTGACAATATCACTGACAGTAGTCTTTGGAGATCGGGTTTTACAGCAATCTGTTGGAATTTCATTGGGCACCAATTGTGCCCATTTATTACCTGACCTGTTTTTATATTCCTATGTAGCAGAATTTCTTCAAATACTTCTACACGAGAAGAAGATTATCTTGGTGTGGCATTCAACTCGACATTAAGAAATATGAACAACGTTTTATCAATTACCAATAGTTACTTTTACTCAACTGTCAATCGATATATCCCAATTTATTCGAAATTAGAGACACTATAGGGTTTGTCAGATCTGTTTCATATTTTCATGTTTTACTGACTATAGACGATCATGACTAACTAATAAACAAACTGTATGACAAAGGGATGGCTTCAGCTTTTTCATCGTCAACTTCCCATATTTATGTAAGCCATCACGGTAGCTCAGTCGGTAACAGTAACTGAGATAAAATACATTTAAAATCATATTTCGTATATTTTTACAGCACGACTTTTTTTTAAATGTATGTTGAATGCAAAACTAGACTTGGTGATTATCGCTTATCGCTCATGAAGATTATTCAAGCTATCTGCGAGAAAATCTGCGAACAAAGTGGAGATGGAACAATAACAAACTTATTCGACAGCGTTCAGGGTAACATAAAGATTGTGAATTTTTTTATTTTTTTAATTACTTTGTGGCTTTAAACGCAACTTATGTTCTCAAATATACGATATTGGATGTTAGACACAATGGAAAAAACTGAGAAATGTCTAATTTGATAAGGTAGCTTGTAAACCACGGTTCTCTTGTATAAGGCTAAGCAGTGTAGTTCCCCAATCCTCTTAGCCCATTTGTATAGTTTTAATATAGTGTTAAGAAGATCAGACTACTTATTTACGCTATTCAGTATAGGCCTTAGCGTATCATTCCAATTTCTGTTTAAGTCATATCAAAAGCGATTGATATCCCTTGCAAGTTTGCTTTTTCATTTCATTACACAACCATTCTTCAAAAAAGATAACACAGCAAGGCAAATAAAAAATATCGGTTTTTCTGTATATATGTACTGTTAGTTAACCTTGTGCCATTCAAAGCTAAGGTTCATTGGACTGAAGACTTACAATTTATCCACCGAGTTCCAGGGTTGCTCATTGGAAAATGTGTCTAACAGATTGTATTTCTCTTGTGAATCTACCGACATCAGCAATCCACCATTTTTCTCACAAATTGTGTAGGCTTCATTCCAAGTTCTTTGTTCTTCATAAAACACTAGCTGGGACAAACATAAGCATTCTGTAATATACGCATAATTTAATCAATCATTTATGGAGGGTTTTCATATCTTTATCATAAGAAGGGTGGAGCTGAAGATTTTTTATTTAAAAAAAATATATAATAATGAAAAACGAAAAGTTATCATCTTCAAATATCTATTTAAACAATACAAATAATGAGCAGAGCCAATACGAACCTCTAAAAATAGAGGAAGGATCAAGTGCCATGGAGGAGTAAGCATCCCCTGTCGACCTGTCATACCCGTCGTGTGCTCCTTGACAGATCGGGTAAACGGTAAAATCCGTAAATATTTCAGTATGATAATAATGGCCTAGCATTTTGTACCACAGATGTCAGTCAATAAACTCATTTCAGGGCATAAAATCACCTCCAAAACAACTGTTACAATAAGGCCATTTTTTGTCTCTTAAATACAATTATTTGAGGGGCATGGGGAGGATAGGAAAGTTTGCCATATTCATTTCTTCAAGAGTGTGCTCCTAATGAACAACACAACTGTGCACTTTATTTGAACATGAGATATATTGTTATGACAAGGAAATTTATTTTTTTTTTTCAAATCAGAATTCAGCACCAGGTGCATATGCGTGTCTTCGTATCCATATCTTATCTGAGACCATAACGTGTGAACTGTATATTTACATAAACTCTGGATTTTGTCTTCTTTCATCAAAAACTTTCATTAAAAACTAAGAAAGTTATAAATGCTTACAATCTTAGCAAATCCGATTTCAGCACACATATTTTCTAGATTTTTCACAAATGTTTTCTGATAGTGACTTATAATATATATATATATATATCAGTGTCTTTTTTATAAAGTATTTTACTGAAAAGTAAGAGAGACACGGTCAATAAACTATTAGCCAATCAGATTTTAACACCTTAGATTCTTCATTTATAGTAGCAAAATGTAAGAACTCACAATACCTATCTAATATCATCCGTTTTGTTGAAAACTAAGGAAGTTATAACCGTTATGTTTCAGATCATCAAATTGCATCGCACTTTCATGCGCATTTTCAATAAATTTTATATACGAGGTATTGTCGAACCTTATAATATGTATCTGAATTTTAAATTTAATGATATTCTTTCAAAGAACATGGAAATTATTGAGATTTGTGTCCTAGGCAATCATGATGAAGCACACTTGCATGCGCGTGTGTTCATGTCAACCACCCATGTAACTTTGTCTTATATTAATATGTGTTTTTGTTTTGCCTCGGACTAGAATGACCCTGTCATTGAAGAGCTTCCTTCAATATTTCTTTAGGTGGCCGAGTTGGAAAATTTGGAAGGTAACATGGCGAAAAACGACCTTGTGTCATCCAAATTAAAAGAAAAAAAATCATGCGTTTAATTTACTTTGTCCTTACCGATTTGGCATTGCTGCGATCAAATTGTAGGAGTAGCGCCCTTTTCAGTGACGTAATCAGTAAAAATCAAGATGACGAGTGAATGTGATTGTACTTACAAGAAAATGGTTTAATTGTAAATGATCACGTTTGGTTTTTTAACTGTTATTGGTTCTCAAAAAAAAATATTTAGCTTTGTTCGCCATGCCTTCTATGGACTCGAACAACCCGTAATATTTCTGTGGACAGTCAGTAACACACCTTTTTAGTAATAATTTACTGAGTTTTTAAGCATTTTGTCCAAAACATTACAGTTAAAGTTTTTTCAATGATATGTTAATTTACTCGTCGCACGCGCAAGTACGTGCTTGTAGGTGCGAGCAAAAGGACATTGGTTTCGCACATTTACACTACATGCCTATTAACCTTAAAAAGGTTTCATCTCAATCGGATATGTAGTTTCCGAGAACACTCGCGGACAAAAAAGTATGGAAGAAGAAATGAGAAACGAAGTAACAACAATTTGATTCTACTTTTTGGGGGGATCATGATAAATATTTCTGTTTTAAATAAAAAATGAATGAATGTAGTTAGATGTAATTAATTTTGAAAAGTAATAAACTGTCATCGGTTACATAGCAAAAACTTGAATACTAGTAATCGATTACACAAAATAAATATAACAAAAATAATTATAAGATAATTACACATCTCAGTAACTGTCTTTGCCTGAATAAGACCAAAGTATTACATAAGAGAAATCTTTTAAATATTAAAATTTTACTTATCAAAAACAGCAGTGTAATTTTCAAGTAAATGTGCCAGCATTCATATCATTATTTTTTTTTTTTTATTTTAGATTCATTTTACTTTGATATGACCATTACGATTCCCTCTTAATCCCCGTGTTTATCTAATTAATGTTTTGAAAAAATAAATTGATTTCAGAAAGGGAAATTTACAAAAATATTAATATTTAGACATCTAGCTTGCACTCACCACTTAGAAAAGTTGCGATGAACAGGATAAAATCGGCTCTGCAAATATGAAATCTGAAATTGCAACAAAGCCGAATCAATATGCTTCCTGTTTTTGGTTTAAAATATATTATTGTTTATAATACTTTCACAAATGGGTTTAAGCAAAAGCTTTGCAGACCCGATAGTCCTTTCGCTAGTTCTAAGTTTAAAATAAACATTATAGCAAAAACAAGAAATAAGTCATATATGGATTAAAGTTAAAAAAACATAATTAAAGAATGGCTATTATTAGTGAATCAATAATGTCTTTTGCGTAACATATAGGGTACACAAATTATGTATTAATTACTAAAAATAAAATATTGCAGAAGCAATAAGTAAGTCGTAAATTCATAAAAAAAAAAAATCATTAAAGCGACACAAATTGTAAATCTTCAAGATAGACTTGTATATTGAAAATCAGCTAAAATTAGCTAACTATTTAATTTAAACAATATTTTATTATGATTAAACATAACTGGATTGGACAGCAGGCACTGCCTATATAAGTCCTCTCCACAATACAGGTCAAGTCATACATGTTACAAGTAAATATTAATTACATAACATTGAAAAAATATATACATGTGTATATTCTAAAGAGATTTATAAAAAAAAAAAAAAAAGAAGACAAAATAAATAGGGAAAAAAAATATAAATGAGCTGATGATACTATATAAGTTTGCATTTAACATATATGACTGATAATTATAATAATACCAGTAAAAATGTGAAAGTTAATAAGAACACATAAATGGATGTTGGTTCTGTGGTTTGACAAAATTAAAAAAAAGAAGAAACAATATCATGCAAATCTCTTTGTAGATGCAATAAATTCTTGAACAATTTTAAATATGGCAATATTTTGGTTGTAAGTAAGATTATTGTCTCCATTCAAAATAAGTTGTAAGGATATAGGCATTGGTAATTGCAAAGTATTAAAGTTTTGCATAAGGCTTTGCCTTTGTACACGATATTTTGGACATTTCATAAAAAAGTGAAATGATGTTTCAGAGCTATATCCACACATGTCACAATTTTGATCTTCCCTTAAAAAAGGATTAAATAAATCAGCATTTAAATTACTAGCATTATTTCGCAATTGACAATGTAATATATTCATTTTACGACTTCCATAGTTGTAATATTTCTTAGGTTTTAAGCAGTATATATTCTTTATGGCAGTCTTGAATGACTAAAGTGTAGAAAGGTTTAAATATTAAAGGGTAAATCATTCCAAAGTCTTATAGCTGAAGGAAGAAAACTTTTCATAAATGAAGTCGTTTTGGCTTGAGGGATTTGAAATGTAAGATTGTCCTGATTCCTTAAAGGATAAGAATTATGTGGTAAAATGCATTGTTGTAATAAATCTTGCAAATACTGGGGAGCTAATCCATACACTATTTTATAAAATAACACTAGTTTATGTATTTTTCTTCTTATTTCAAGTGTATCCCAGCCAAGATCTTCATAAAGTTTTGATCTTGATGAATTAATCCTTAAGCCTGTTATTATTCGTGCAGCTGCAACTTGAACATCTTCTAGAAATTTTGCATCTCTATCAGTACAATTATCCCATACAATGTCTGAGTTTTCAAGAACAGGACGAATAAAAGCAAAATATATTTTTATCAAAGCATCCCGCTTAAGGGAGTGCTTTAACATTCTTAACTATGTTAGTCATCTTGTTTTCTTTTATTCTTATGAAGCAGAATTTATTTTAAAAAAAAGTCTAAAAGAAAAGAAGTCTCCTGTTGTGGCCTCCAATTCGATATTTGTATATAATATAGACGTTTTTTTTTCAATTAACAATACTCATATTCATTCAAACGTGGATTTGATATACTCACCGAAGGCATCAATGAGTATGACACCTGTGTTTTATAATTGGATGCTTGACTGGGAGAAAGTCAATGATGGAAAACTAACAATTAAACTTTATTATAAACGAAATGACTGAAAGCTTTTGCTTTCATCGGCCTGCATTTAATATGCATCACATGCATATGGAGTTTATGTCTCTAATTAGATTCGAAACGCAAGAGCATGTTCTGCATACGATCATTTTTTAAAACTGAGATGGGCTACTGACAAATAAGTTAATTTACAAGAGCACCGACAATCTTATCTAAGGTCTACATTTCGCAAACTCAATGGTCGATAATTAAATGGACCTTGTTTACAAAATACTTGTACATCCTGTCTTTAGGCTGTGTTAACTTACGTGTTTATTACAAATTGTAAAACTATTATTTTCATACTGAATTGGCTAAGGATTGTTTCATTTAGCCGATCAAGGGAAAAAAAGCTTCAAGGTGGGTTACCGGTGAACAGGGGATGCTTACACTTTCATGGGAACTGATCCCTACTCTAATTCTTCCAGGGTCTGTGTTTGCTCTGTTCTGTAATGTTTATTTAGACTTTTGGACATGATTACTGTTCGTTATCTTAATATCCCATTCTATAAAAAAAAAGTTCGGGAAACTAAGTGAGACAGATTCACAAACAGACAGATCTACATGGACACACAGACGGAGAAAAAAAACCTATATTACCCTCTGGTTTCACTGGGTTGAGACTTATAATGCATCAATCAAATAAAAAAAAGATGAGAATACATGTTACGAACAGTGATCGATCTCATAAATCCTATCAATTATACAAATAACGGCCATAACACGTACCCCTTGAAACACCAGAGTTGAGATCAAGTGTAAAGGGGGAGTAAGTATCTACTGTCGACCAGTAACTAGCAACTGTTCCTTCGCCAATTGTTCTGCACTTTGAAGTGAAAGTTGCGGGTCCTTGGGATGAAACCTTAAAAACCGAGGCCCCCTGTCACTGTAGGCGTTGACACGATAAAGAACCCTCACTGCTCAATGGTCCTCAGTGCCGAGTAAAGGTCTAAATTTGAAGCCCTTCACCGGTATATGGTGACGTCTCTATATGAGTGTAAACTTCTCGAACAGGACACAAAACAACATACAAGCAGTCAATCAATCGACCGGTAACACTCAGTGTTAACCCTCTGTATTTATCAATCAAGAAAACACAGTAGTCCATTAATCGGACATTAATAATAATATGAAAAACAATTACCTAAATATTGTAATTGGTCTGAAAGATGCTAATCAAACTTTGACCCAACTATATGCTGTGTTTGAAATAGAGATTAATCTATACAAATGTTTAAATTTAATTCTGGAAATTGCATTTCCAATACATCTTAATTACGACACACGTCTGGATCTGCATTAAGTATCTACTTTCATTTTCAGTAGGAATATATAGCGTACCCTTTTTGTAACCTTTTGTCCATACATACTTTATAGATAGAATGATCAACTTTCTTAAATAGGTACCGGTTGCTGAAAAATATAGAAAATAACTGTTCCTTTACTAAGCGTCCGGTACTAAAAAAAGAAAGTTTCAGATAAGACCTTCAAGGGGCGTAGACGCAGATTTGAAGTTAGTATTTTCTCAAATTTTCTGTATTATATCATGACTTATATGTTGCTTTAGCATTTCATACGGAAATATAATTGAAAAAAAACTTATTTTATCTGGAAATCATTGAAACTACGAATTTCGGGACGAAATTTGAAGCCATTAACCTGCATACAGTGACGTCTCTATCTGAATGAAAAATTCTCGAATGAGACGTTAAACAAAACACAATCTATCTTAACTAAGTTTGTTTACGAGAATTTTTCTCCCATAATAAGTTGCATTCATTTACTGGTGAATGCCTGCAAATTTAGACCTTTGTTCGGCAGTTACGACCATTTCGCAGTTAGGAATCTGTTCTTGCATCTATTAAGGCCTCATCAGAAAGACCGGTCTCCACGTCCAGCAATGGGAATACAACCCGCCACGTAAGAATGTATGTACAGCATTCCTTCTTATTCTAACTAATAACCACGCAGGCAATTTTCCTTTAAAAAAAAGGAAGGAAGGAGCAAGTAGCTTTCTATTTCTTAGGTCGACTGAAATACAGTCATTTAATTAAAGGTCGGTTAAACAATAGAGAGATTTCACAATTATAATGTACACAGTAGATTTCACCATCTGACATTATGTGACCCTTTGCTTTTTTTTAAAAAAGTAGAATTGAAATAAAATCTCTGATTTGTTATTCATAAACAATGGTTTTGAATATTCTTTAACACAGGTAAAAGAATGTAGGTGCTTTATCTTTTAAATATATAACAATATTTATCTATATGACATTAGTTTTATGGACTTTGATTATTTTGTATATGAATATAAGTAGTACATTTGAAAGGTGGACTGGATTGTTCAAAGCATCAAAGAAATTTTTAGCATCATCGAAGACAAGTTTATTTCTCTCTCATAATAATAAATTAAACTGAACGAATTTACATTGAATATTGTCCTATTGAAAAACAAGAGACCCAAGGGCTTTAACGGTCACCTGAGTACAACAATTTAGAGGATCCATAAACTGATAAATGAAGCTTTGTTGCCCAATAGCAAGGAACACAGTACGATTAAGATCAACAAAATAATTGGTCTAGTATCTTTCTATCTGTCCCCCATTTATCACTATTACCATGCAGGCTTTTAACAAAATGTCTATATTATTACCTCTCACATTGGCCTCACTTGGTCTTTGAAGAACATTTAAAAAGATAAGTTATTTTTGTTTCATTTTTATTCATCTATTATTTCCAAGTCTACCTGATTATTAAAACTATGAAAGTACTTTTTGTATTATACAATAAATGTTCTTGTATAATTCTCTTATTCTATTAACCTTTCAAATACATTATCTACAGTGATTAATTATCAAAGGTGAATGCAAAGGGGAAAAACTTCACTCAGTAGAATACAAATTAATAGAACCCTGGCCAGGACCAGAACACTTGACTAAATTGTCCAGATGTTCAAAATTCTGGTAAAAATACCTTGCTTATTAAAACTTTTACTCTGTTTGCTTCCAATATGCCCAGGAGCAGAGGAGATTTTCAAAGAAATAATGCATTTTTACTATTTAACACAGCCCTATCCTA